TTGTACCTTACCTGGTGGGATTTTGCACACGGTGGCAGGATGCCACCCGTATCTCTGATTGCAATTGGGGCTCTGGACGAAGATGGCGCTGTCGCTTAGGCACTCAGCAAAAACTTCCCCGCCGATGTAATACAAACGCACACCCCTTCCTAGAAAAAAAGGATACGCCGACATTTTATTAAATTTAACACCGACTTAATCAAGTATTAGAGATTCACTGCCCTGTTCCCTCGGCTGCTCAGAATAAGCCAACTCCCATATCTATAAAACACGGGGACCTGTTTTTCAACATGATAAAAACGAGTCTGAGGAGACAGGAAGTCTCTACCTATGTGCCGTCTTGTCATTTCCACGGTGGCGTTTCTGTTAACGTTGGAAAGCAGACCTAGGCAGAACCTTTCGGAGTTCGATGGATCTGTAAAGCCGTCTACGGTAAGCGAAGGCTGCGATGCGTGGAAGGTCTCCCCCACTCTCTGGTTCAATTCATAATACGCTATTGAGCACCAGAACGCAGGCTCTGAATAGGTAACCGGCTGAAGGTCTAGAGGGGGGGGAAATTAGAATTTGTTAAAACATGGGGGACGTGTCTGAATCTTTAGTGTTAACTAGTGAGTCACAGCGATGAGCCCGTGACCAGCATTTGTGATAGTGCCCTTAGTTCAATAATACCCCAAATGTTTCGCACATTATGGTTCATGAGAGCTAAAGGAAACTGTCAAATGAAAAGATAAAGGAAACTATCAAATGAAAAGATAATCAAAGATGTCTCCCTCTCCTTTGGGGGTTTTCAAACAGAGGCTAGATGGCCATCTGACAGCAGTGCTGATGCTGTGAACTTAGGCAGATTCGTGAGAGGGAGGGCAGGAAGGGTTACATCAGTACTCAGTTCTCGTGGCCCTTCCTTACACGCCCAGGGAAATGCCGATCACCACTTCGGGGTCAGGAAGCAATTTTTCTCCAGGCCAGTTTGGCCGGGGATCCTGGAGGGGTTTGGGGTTTTTCACAGGGGGTGCGAGGGGGGAAGTATTTGTGAATTTCCTGCATTAGGCAGGGGGTTGGATTAGATGACCCTGGAGGTCCCCTTCCGACTCTATGATTCTAGGTCAGATTCCACACACCTGTTCTGCTTACGAAAGCAAAAAGGATCCCACTGCATCAAAGGAATGCACCTAGAACAGGGTGCGAGGGGCAGAATGCCACACTTAGTGGAGCAGGTGGCTCAGGACTGCCTGATAGTCTGCATTTTTATAGCCGTCATCCGCAGTGAATGAAGAGGAGAAACTACATCACAATTTCATTCTCAGGAATTCACCTCTGAGGCCCCCCAACTCTACTGCATTTCCAGCAAGTCTCTCGAGAGGTAGCGCATACGAGGGAAGGTATTTAGAAAACATACGGGGGGAGACAGTACTAGTGAAACATTCCTGCCCCAACAGTTCTGATTGGCCCATTGCTTGGTGTTCAGTGTAGCACTGTCTCATACTCAGGCAAGACATGCTTCATGGGCTTCTGTTCAGTCTCTCCATGTTTCCAGGGGCCAGAAGCTCTGTGCCCTCCCCACCTCCACTGCACAATGGCACACACAGAGCGATGGTGCCCTTTTTAGAAGCAGAATGAGTCAGCAACAAGCTTTACGCAAGTTATGCTCGGTGACCCAGATGCAGCGCCCCTGCTTCACCACGCTCTGGTTTCTAGGGAACCCAAGTACCTTCTGCAGGCGGCGTGGCAACGTGGCTGCTTGCATGACGTATGTGATACGCTATTAAGGTTCGCTTCCCCTTTAAAAACAGTAAGCTCACACGCACACACACACACACACTTCTCCCTTTTCTCATTCATTTCACCAAATTGTACATGCCTGGCTCGTTTAACCTTGACTGCAGACACACCAGGACAAATCAGTCTCCGATCTCTACGGACCCTATGTGACGGAAGGCGGGAAGCGTCCAAAGAAGTTTCAACACTCAAAGCGCTACATGAGTCGGGACGGACCAGCTATGTGACTTACAGGGAAGTTTCCCAATGGGCCCCTGGCTCTAGAGGTCCACTGGTGGCAAGTTGTCAGAAGAGCCAATAATCCCCAGCAACTTCACCAGTGCCCTGAGGGTCACTCGGCTTGGACTCTTCAGAGGAGGAGATTGGATTTATACCCCGCCCTTCACTTGGAGTCTCAGAGTGGCTTAAAATCTCCTTCCTTTCCCCTCCTCGTAACAGACGCCCTGTGAGGTAGGTGGGACTGAGAGAGCTCTTTCCAGAACTGTCGCTGAAGGAACAGCTCTGACAGAACTACGGCTTGCCCAAGGTCATCCAGCAGCTGTGAGTGGAGAAGTGGGGAATCAAACCCAGTTCTCCCAGATTAGAGTCCGCACACTTACCCACTACACCAAACTGGCCACGATCGTTGGTTTCAGTTCACCAGCTGCCTCTTCCTGCACAGCCACCAGTCAACGCCCACCGCTGTTGCCAATCGGGGGGCCCGCATGCCGGCTTGTTACGTGACAAGGGCCACTCAGCCTGGCTTGTTCCAGTTTGGTGTAGTGGTTAAGTGCGCGGACTCTAATCTGGGAGAACCGGGTTTGATTCCCCACTCCTCCACTTGCACCTGGCTGGATGACCTTGGGCAAGCCATAACTCTGGCACAGCTGTTCTTGGAAAAAGAGCAGTTTCTGTCAAGAGTTCTCTCAGCCCCACCTACCTCACAGGGTGTCTGTTGTGGGGAGGGGAAGGGAAAGGAATTTGTAAGCCGCTCTGAGACACCGTTGGGTAGTGAAGGGCGGGGTATAAATCCAATCTCTTCTTCTTCTTCTTTTGACTTTCCCAGAACAGCCCTGACATCGACGTTCTGTGTTATTTTTAGTGTGCAGAAAAAACAGGCTGCTTACCTGTAACTGGTGATCTTCGACGTGGTCATCTGTGCATTCACACCCATGGGATGTAGTGCACACGCACTGGATCGATCGGCAATGTAGCAAGCTCTTTAATGGATTTTCATGCCCAGACCTCGGGCATGCGCAGGAACCCCACCGCGCATGCCCAGAAGGGAGGGCGCGGACATCCTGCCAGTTCCTTCAAACCGCCGCAAATCAACCCCTATTGAAAATGTAGAAGCTGACAGCAGCGGGGAAGGAGGGCGGGTGGTGTGAATGCACAGATGACCACTCGAAGATCACCAGTTACAGGTAAGCAACCTGTTTATCTTCGACGTGGTCTCTGTGCTTCACACCCATGGGAGATTAGCAAGCAGTGACCTACCTGGAGGAGGGTGCTGGCAGGTCCTTTACTGCGAAGCCGAGGATAAGATGTGATGTCCCATGTTAATACGAGAGTTCTTACGGATGTCTAGGGCGTAGTGCCTGATGAAGGTGTTAGGCGTGGCCCACGTAGCGGCTTTGCAAATGTCCGTCAGGGGCACTCCCTGGAGGAAGGCAGTGGAAGCTGCAACAGCTCGAGTTGAATGAGCCCTGATAGGGCCGGGCAATGGCTGTTTGGCAATCAGGTAACAGAGGCGGATGAGACCCGCAATCCACCTTGAGAGGCGCTGAGCCGTGATGCGAGTCCCCAGCCTTGATGGTGCGACGAGACGAATAGTTGGGAGTCACGTCTCGCTGGGCGGGTTCTGTTCAGGTAGAACAGGAGCGCATGCTTCACATCTAAGGTGTGTAACAGTCTGTCCTCTGAGGATGTTGGAGCCGGGAAGAAATCCGGGAGGAAGACCTCTGCCTGTAGGTGGAATTCTGACACTACCTTTGGCAGGAAGGAGATGTCAGGTACGAGGCGGATGCCGTCTGGCAAAAAGGACAAGTAT